AGATTTTGGACGTTATTATGCAACATGTGGGTAGCTTTGTCCTAGCGGATAAGACTACCCCCTCGGGGCTCAATGGCTTGTTTGTTAGAGTTCTTCTCGAAGTATATCTGAGGCTCCTCCTGAAGAGAATCTTAGCGGTAAATGATGATGAAGAGTGCCCCATTGCTGCTGATCTATAAGAAGCTTTTTGAACTCTGCTTCTACTGCGAAAGAAAGATAACTGATAAACGTTATTGCCCTGCTGACTATGATAATGATGGTTGTCTCCTTGTGGATAGAATCTTTGAGGATAAACCTTTGGTGTGCCCTACTGATTTCCCAGTGAGTGATGAAACCAAGAGTGAGCTCCCTGAAGGTGTTATGCTGTTATTCCCCTAACCTACTCTAGTTGATGAGTTAGGTTCTGCTGAGGGAGAAACACCGGTGAAGGGTGAGAATTTCTAGGAGCATACCGAGGATGAGGAAGGGTGGAACTCGGTCCTAGTTAGAAAGAACAAAAGTGCTAGTAAAGGCAGGAGTTCTGATTATAGGGATGGCAGAAGCTATGAGAATATTGTACGAGGTAATAGAACTTGGGTGTCAAAGGCTGATCTTGTTTCTAAGTGGTATCCTCAAGCTAACAGAGGGTCTGGTACTGGCAACGTCGGAGAAATGATTGTGATGAATGAAAAGGTTGCTGATAGTGGAGGTAATGTTAAGGGAGTTAAAGAAGTCACTGATCTGGATACCGATGAGGACTTTATGGAAACTGAGGAATGTGAATTTGAGCAAGTTCAATCTGGAGGTAATAAGAAGAGGGTTAGAAGTAAGGGTAAAGGTGAAGTAAGTCCTAGCTACAATCTAGAGGATGTTGATTGATGAAGTCGCTGTTATGGAACTGTAGAGGCTGGGGCTGGCCTGATTTTGCCTCACAGTTTAATTTTCTTTGTTGTCTATGTTTTTTAGATGTTTTGTGTATTGTCGAACCTAGATCCAGCCTTGATAAAAGGCTTAATGCTTTATTGTTTAAGAGGTTCACTAATGTGTTTTTTTGTTAGTGGGGATGGAAGGGCAGGGGTCTATGCCTTTGTTGGAATGATCGAAATATTAATATGAATGTGCTTGCCCATAATTCTAGATTTATTCACTGTGACGTTTTAGATAAGCAAACAAACATTAAATTCTTCTGTACTTTTGTTTATGCTTACCCTAAAAAAAAATCTGCAACCTTAACTATGGAACAATATCATTAATCTAAGTCCTACAAATAGTGAAATTAACCTCTGGCTTCTCCTTGGTGACTTTAACAATATCATTAATCTTACTAAAAAGGTTGGAGGTAATAGAAGTGTCCTAAACCACATGATAGACTTTAATAAGTTCTTGAGTGAAGGTAGTTTAATTTCCATCCCTGCTTCAAGAGTGCCTTTCACCTAGTGTAATGGTCATAAAGATAACACCATTATCTATGAAAGATTGGAAAAGGCTATTACTAACTCTGATTGGTTAAACTTATACCTCAATGCCTTTCTCCATAATTATCCCATTTTTGGATCAGATCATAGCCCAATCTTGTTGGATACTAGTACCTTGTGTAACGTTAATGTTGTAGAAAGTATAAGTTCAAATTTTAGGCTATGTGGTTAACTCATCCGAATTTTATGAATCTTATGAGTAAAGCTTGGAATGATGACATGCCTGGTATCTCTTGTGATAAGGTTAGGGGTTACTTAGGTAGATTCAAATTTCTTATCAAGAAATGGAATAAAGATATCTCTGGGAACATCTTCAACAAGAAAAAGGTCCTTATGAGTAAGTTCGAAAAAATCCAACAAGATAGTATGAGTATACCTGATTCCAGCATTATGTTAAACAAGGAAAGTGTTATTAAAAGGCAACTTTATCAAGTTCTCAGGAATGAGGAAAACGCTAGAGTTAATTGGCTCCAACTTGGAGATAGAAGTACTAGGTACTTCCAAACTGTGAATAATATTCGGAAGAAAAGGAATGAGATTTCTAGAATTAAAGACCACCAAGGTGATTGGTGGTGGAAAGGTGTAGGATTGGAAAATATTTTTGTTGAAGATTTTAAACTTCAATTCACCTCTTCCATCACCCCTTCTAACTCAAGTATTAGTAACTTTGTGGATATAATTGAACCCTATTTAACTGAGGTACACAATTCCTTCATAAACAAGCCTATTCTCGATGGTGAGGTTCTTGAAGCTGTAAATAGTTTGGGGCTCTCAAAGCTTCTAAACCTAATGGTATTCATGCTATGTTCTATCAAAATTATTGGGCCTTGTTGGCGAATCTATTACGAACATGGTTAAAGATTTCTTCAACACAGGATCAAGTCTAAGGTTGATAAACCATACGCATATTACCCTTATACGTAAAGTGGCTAACCCTATATTGGTTTCTAATTTTAGACCAATTAGCTTATGTAATGTCACTTATAAAATTATCACTAAGATTATGGTTAATTAGATTAAACCTTTACTAACACATTGCATTTCTAGGAATCAAGGTGTCTTTGCTCTTAGAAGATCCATCTAGGATAATATTCTAATTGCTCATGAAATCTTCTCATCATTTAAGGGTAAAAAAAGGTAAGTATAATGCTATGGCTATCAAATTAGATCTTGAAAAAGCTTATGATTTTATTAGCTGGGATTATATTAAATCTGTTTTAATAAGATTCGAATTTAATACTCATTGGATTAACCTCATTATGGAATGTATTACGTCCACTTGCTTTTATGTGTTAGTTAATGGTAAAGCTCATGTCTATTTTCATCCATCGAGGGGCATTAGACAGGGTGACCCCCTTTCTCTCTACATATATATTTAATGTATGGAACCCCTGATAAGACATTTAGACAAAGTTGGTGGGTCTCCTAGGAACAATGTTGGTCTACCAACTTCTCCTAGAGGGTTTAGAGTTACAAATCTAATGTTTGCGGACGACTGCCTGATCTTTGTTAAAGCTACTAATACTACAACTAGGAATATTTCTAAAGTGCTTAATGACTTTTCCTATACTTCTAGAAAAAAAATAAACTTCCATAAGTCGTCACTTTACTTCTCCAATAACACTCTAAATCATACTAGGAATGATATTGTTAATATTCTCTAAATCCAGCATAAAACCATTATTGGCAAACACTTAGGGATCCATAAAATAATTTTCTAGAAAGACCTTATTAATGCTAAAGAGCTTATTATTAAGATTCAAAACAAATTATCCAGTTGGAAGGCTAATACTCTATCTAAGGCAGTGAGGCTTACTCTCATTAAAGCAAACTTTTCTGGTGTTCCAAATCATCCCTGAAAAGATTACTAAGGCTATTGATAAAGAGAGTAGGAAATTTTTGTGGGGAAAAGACTCCAAACTAAACCATGTTGTGTGAGACAAAATTTGCTGCTCTAAAGAGAATGGAAGGTTAGGCATTAGGTACAATGCTTGCTTGGCTAAATTAGGGTGGAAAGTCCTAACCGAAGATCAAAATTGGTGGGTCCAAATTGTTAAAAATAAATATTTGAAAAATGAAGATTTTTTTTAATAATAAAATTAGACAAAATTATTCTTGTGCATGGAAGGGTATCCTAAATGCTAGGGAAGTTGTTAGGATGGGGTTGAGATGGGTAGTCAGAAATGGAGAAAATATTCTTTTCTGGACCCATAATTGGGTTTTTCCTTTCCCTCTTACCATTCTCTTATCTAACTCCCAACTTACTAACGTTGATCATGATCTGAAAGTGAGCCAGTTTATTACTAATGGTCAATGGAATAAACAATTGTTATGTTCTATGGTTGATGTTGATTTTGTTAACAAAATTTGTAGTATTCCTTTGCCTTTAGCCTCTCAAAATAATTCATGACGTTGGGGACCAAATGCTAATGGTAAATTCCCTGTCAAGTCTACAACTTGGATACAGAATTCTATTAATAACAATGTTAATTTTAGCAAGCTTTTGAAAAGGATGTGGAACCTTAATAACTTGCCTCACAAAGTAAAAAATCTTTAGTTGGCTTCTCATTTTGGGAAAACTCCAAACCAGAGACCATTTGGCAAGATATATTAATAATATGCCTACTATTTGTCGCCTTTGTAACTCAGATAATGAGAGTATTAGCCAACTTTTTGCTTACTGTGATTTTGCTAGACAGGTGTGGAACAACCCCACTATATCTAGCTCCTTAAAGATAAATCAAAACCTTAATTTCAATGATTGGCTAATCAACCTGGACAGCAAAATCATTGACGATCTAAGCGAGTTAGATATGGCGTTCCTTATTTGTTGGCAAATTTGGAAGGAGATGAACCTTTTCGTATTTCAAAATAAAAATCTGAATTACACTAGAATTGTGAATTCAACATTAAGTATGAGTAGAGATTTTCGTGCAACTAATCTGGTGATGCATAATGGGCCTTCTGGTGACCAAAAGGTGAAACCCGACCCCATTTGGTGGTCTTCCCCAGAAAATAGTTTTGTCAAGCTCAACTTTGACGGCTCGGTGATTAACCAGCAGGCTGGTTTTGGTTTTGTGATTAGAAATGAGAATGGTTCCCCTATCACTGCAGGGGCGTGCGATGTTGGACAGAATGCCATTAATGTGGCAGAATGTTTGGTGCTTCGTGATGGTCTCTGGATGGAAAACTCAAGGGGTTTTAAGCGCATCATTGTTGAAGGCGGCTCTAAGCTGGTTAGTGAGGCTATTTGTGGTGCCTATCATGCTCCTTGAAGATTGAGGACCATTCTTGCAAATATTCGACAGCTCGCAGGCTTCTTTGAGGATATTTGTTGGAAGCATGCCTTCAGAGAAGCCAATTTTGTAGCGGATGCTGTCACAATAGTCGGTTCTTAGTTAATGGCTTCCATGTTTAGGATAAAACTATTCCATTGACTGCTCATCTAGCCTAACTATTTAATTGTACTCAAACAGGTTGCCCTATGGGCTTTTCTCTTCAATATAGTTCTTTCTTTCTCTAGCAAAAAAAATAATAATCCACTTCTTTTCTGATAGCATCATCTACTTAAATCACGAGTGGATAAAAACACGGCATATGCCATTTAATGTTCACCTGCTGATCACTTCACATGCAGGACTCATCCAAATATGCCTCATGCAATTAATTTGAAAACGATGTTTATTAGTAAGAGTCATGATATTGCATGAACAGCCTCCACATAATCTCTCTCTGCTGCCGTGCTGATAGCATGGAGTTGTAAGTCGCCAGCTGTCCAATCCCTAATTATTCCATCATTATCCCAACCAGCTGTGCTCTAGATATTACTTGCAAGAGTGCCCGTGTTGTGCTGCAGGTTTTCAAACTGTACAAATCATGGAGAAAGTATTAAATGTATATATAATAAGCCATACTACTTATATACATGTGGAAAATGTACTTACAACACTATCTACAATAAGGAACAATAAGTAGCAATGAATTTTCTTAATCTAATGGGCTTGTTTTCATTTTGCTTAGCATCGTTGTCTGAAATCATAAGAGAAATAGAAAGAAAAAAAAAATGAAATTTGTCTATGAAGGAAACAAATTCAACCCAAATTATATATCATAGATGATCTATTACCTATACGGAAGAAGACTTGGTAAAACCATTTTACCACATCAGGAAACATCTACTCATATGATTTGTATTTATTTCCATTACCAATGCCTCAAACTTGCAGGATCTAAATTAAAAAAAAAAAAATATATATATATATATATATATATATAAAAGAAGAGGGTTTACATTGAATGGAAACCGCAAACACAAACCAAAACAATTCTTATAGGATAAGTTAGTAGACTTACAATGGAGTGAGAAGTGTGCAATCTCGCTGCCAATTTGCTAAACCAAGATTACCTACACCAAATTAGAACATTTTAATCCTTCAAACTGTTGATTTCCATATATCAACAGCCATCAAGAATTCTATGAACTTGATGGTCAGGATAAAGACTAGTTGATCAAAAATTGACAACTGGAGGCATTATTAGTAGTCGATCTTGTAGTTCACTTTTTGCTTCTAATTTTTATGCTTCTTTTGTTTCTTCACAATAGCATATGTCACTACAAAAGTACTAATTTTTCACATTAATAGAACCCACGCAATATTCTTTCATATTTTTCAATGAATTTCAAACTAGAGATGGTCACATTTAGGGCTTCTTGATTTACATCCCACTTGTTACTCTACTGTTGTATCTATTAATCCAAATTCATTCAAGAAGCATTCGTCAAATGTTTTACATTTGACAAAATTTGGCAATTCAAATAAAATCCACACAATGCAATCATCACAATCCCCAAGAGCAACAATTGAAAAAAGCAAATAAATTCAGTGATAAGGTACATGACAAAAACCCATTAGGATTAAGATTACACTAAATTCATTACATTCTTATTAAAACGGAATAGAATTCTCTCTCCTCTTTTTATCCCCTCCTCTCGTATTCTCTATTTTGTCTTTCTCTTTCTATAAAAAAAAAATTAATATAAGATGTTGACGTGGCTTAAAACAGCCCAACTCACAAAATGCACAATCAAAACAACATAGCCCTTACTCTAATCTCGCAGAGACTCGAAAGGAATCCCGTGCTCATTCGGCTATATAATTAAAAATAATAATGTTGAAAGAACGTAAAAAAAATCTGTTGTATGCCTATTATTACTTTCGCTGGACCCAACGTAGATTGAAGATTCCTAGTATTTCTTTGCTCTTTTCTGGAAGGGCACGTAGAGCTTCTCTTTATCAGCGGGACCATGCACCTGTGGCACTTTTTGTTCAGTGACCAAAGTACCATACAAAACTTCATCTAAGCCAAACGTAGCAAAAAATTAATCATAACTTTCGAAACGATGTAAAAACTAACACTATTTTGTTGATAAAAATTTGTATGCAACACCTCAAGAATATTAAGATTATATGGTATGGAGACATGGCGAAAAGTATAAAACTTACAGCAGAAAGATGCTTAGAAGCATCCACTATGAGAACTGGTCGCCGTTAACATCAAGAAAGTCGTGTACATACGCTTTTCCATTTCGGCTATACCCTGCACTCTGAATTCTTGAAGCCATTTGTATCACATGATTAGGGAAGTACCAAAAACGAAACTTTATTCATAATTACATTCTTTTTCTGCTTTAAAAGGGTAAAAAATCTAAATAAAGAGTGTTCATTGAAATGCAGTGCAACTTTCAAATAAAGAGTGTTCCTCCTCATATTTCAAGCAATGTGTCAAACATGTTCTCATATCTTGTGCAGAAAAGAAAAGCCAAAAATTGTATAATAATAACAATTCATTGAATAACTGAATATAGGAGGCACATACAATTGAAGAGATGTTTGTCAAGGGTATCATGATGCACATACTCCGCCACCAGCAACTTCTAGTCGCCATCGCAACAATACACAATCATGAAGAAATACCTCTTTGAAAAAAACACTTTGCAAAGATTGCACAAAGAAATTAAAACTACTTGACACTTTTCCAAAAATCAAAATCAGGAACTTCAAAAAATACATTTGAAATTTGCCCTCTTCGTTAACATGTAGAAAATAAAATTAACATCGGCAAACTATGTAACAACCTCATTGAGTAAAAAAAGCATGCATAACGTAGTAGCTTCTACATATGACCGCTCCAGGTTCCAAAATAAGCAGCAGCCTCCTGTCAAGTAATACCAATTTAAGTTTAGATACTTCAATATTCATTATACATAATTTGGAAATAGAAAAAACGTAACATAATCATACCTCCAAATAAAAAATTAGATTAATCAAATTTGATAACATTGTGCCGTAAGGAACCCCCAAATTTCCAGATGAAGAAAAACTAATACAACCTCTACAAAAAAAAATAATCCGAAGATGAAAAATCAGATTCGAAATTCTCAAATCTGGAAGTTGAAATTGAAAATTTCGAGAAGCTACCTCTTATGAGCAGAGGAAGAGATTGATACCTTACCCGACGTTAGAGGTGCTCGGAGTTGACCGAAATCGACAAAAAAGGGCCGAAATCAGTCGATTATTTAGGAGATGGACACCTTGGAGGCAAAAGGGGACTAACGGTGGACAGCACATAATCGTTTATGCAAAAGCTAAAGAGAATTATGGAATTTAGAGGGTTCTTTCGATTTGGATGAATTCGTGGAGCCGGTGGTTTTGGCCAAAGAACCAGCGACCTGTCAAGAACCATATTTAAGCTTTGGTCTCCGACCTTTCAATGGAGAATGAGAGTTGGAGGAAAAGTGACAGATGAAAGCAACTCCAGCATGGGGAGTTTGCTCGAGGGACAGGCCAGGAAAAAAGGCCCGAGAGCCTAGCCTACATACTCCAAAGTGGGGAGCCCAAGGGACGGTGGAGGCCCGAGCACCAAGAGGAATTGCCAGCCTGCGAGCTCGAACTGGATCTGACGCAGGGCTAACGTCATCCAGGCATCAGCCCAATTTTTTATTTTTTTCTATCAAGCACGTGCACCTCACTCGCGCATGGGGGCGTGTCACCCGACACTGTTTCAGCGCCTAAGGCCCGCAACGTAGTTTCAAAAAGTTACTGTTGGGAAGCCACGTGGCTTCCCATGGTTCGTTGGATCTCAACGGCTATATAATGTGACCGTCCGATTTGCAACGGTAAACAAAATAAAAAAATCTTATTTGATATCAACCGTTGGATCTGAGATCAACGGTTGATATTATTCTTCTTTATAAATAAAAAAATAGTTTTAAAATTCAGAAATGTTACCGTTGTGCCACATGGCACAATCTGGAGTGTTGCAATTCAATTTTTTTTTAAAATCTAACAGCAGAGATTAATTAGTTGAATAAAAAAAAATTTAAATTGTAAAAAAATGAATAAAAATCAGAAAAAAAAAATTTGAAATTTTTTAAAAAAATTGTTTTTACTTTTCTATAAATACCTTCTCATTATCATCTACCTTACACCACAATTTTATATTTTCTCAACTACTTTCAACCACATTCCTATCTTTCTCTTGAAGTTTGAATCCAATTTTTTTTCAACAAAATGACTACTAATGCAGGTACGAATTGGACATTTCTTGAAGATGTTGCATTGTGTAATAGGTGGGTTGAAGTTACTCATAGTTCACTTATGGGTAATGAGATACAGTTGCGAGAAATGTGGAGTCTTATTCATACCAATTATCTTGAGAAAATGGGTGGGAAAAGAACCAAAGAATCGATATCCAATTGTTGGAAATTACTTAGCCAATCGTTTAGTATGTGGAGAGACGCCTTGGCACAAGCTACTAATATTCGAAGTGGGGAAAATTACACGGATCAGGTAAGAAAATATTATTTATTTGTTTGTACTATACCCAAATTTACATTATAATTATTTGTTTGTATTATTTATTTGTTACCGACTTTCATTATAATTATTTCTTATCCCGCATTGAGTTGTAACTTCAAGCACAAGCTTGGTATGGTGCCAAAACCAAAACCAAAACCAAACAAAAATAAATCATTCAACCGGTGGGAATGTTGGAATATTGTCAAAGATTGTCCTAAATTCAAAGTTGTGCATGTCGATCCAGAAGTTTTCATGAACAGCACCCCTCTATACTCTACACCTGATCATGCCTCGCATGTTCATGAAGATGAAGCAGAAGAAGTCCCTGAAATGCCCCCCTAAACAAGCATCGGGATCGACCCGTTATCCAATTAGGCCTCAAGGTAAGAAGGCTTCAAAGAGAAAACGGAGTGCTTCGAAGAATGATTATGCAAAGTATATGGAAGAACTTGCTCGCCAAGGTGAATTGACTTTGGCGCGGGAAATGGCGAAATTTGAGGTTGATAAGGCTAGAGAGGAGGCAAATGCTGCAGCTGTTAAGAGAGCATTTCAAGCTAATGAGAGAGAAAGAAAGCTACTTAGGCAAGAAAGGGAACAGGTTAGAGAAGAAAGAATAGCTCAACGAGATCGTGACATTATGAACACACCTTTAGAAGGGAAGTCTCCAAATTCTAAATATTTTTGGAAGTCGGAGAAAGCAGAAGTGGTGCGAATGAGGCGTGCAAGAGAAGTGAGAGCAAGAGGAGATGGTCCTAACACGACAAGAGAAGATCATCCTAGCACCACAATTGGCTAAGTGATGATAAATAGAGTACTTTTTGTAATCGGAGCCCATAATTTTCCAATCACTTTGGGTTGTAATTTCTTATTTATTGAATAAAGTACTTTATGTTGTTTCCAATTTATTGATAATTTATTTAATTTGGTAATTTATTTATACTGAGAGAATCTTTATTCAAAAGACATTTAAACACACCAAATAAAATTACATAAACATACAAAATAACAAAAAACTCACTAAATGAACTAAAGAAACACAACAAATAAAAATTAAATAAACATACCAAAAAAAAAATAAACACACTAAATGAACTTAAGTATCTTGAGCTTGTTTCAATTCCAACTGGTGCTCTATCAAATCAATTTGCCGGGCATTATGCATATATGGCCTTTGAAGTGCACTATATCGTTGAATGATCAATTCATTGTAACATCCATTCCTTTCTAATGGCTCATGTTGCACGGGTTCTTCAGTGGCGTCATGAGCACAATATATACGTGTTTTTGAATTGTTCATCGTGTCATGGCTCATATTCATCAATGGCATCATAATCGTACTCATCTTCCACAATCATGTTATGAAGAATAATGCACGTCATCATGATGGATCGAAGCGACTCTACATCAAACAATCTAGCAGCACCCCTGATAATCACTCAACAAGCTTAGAGGATACCAAAACAACACTCCACATCCTTCCTGCACCCCTCTTGACAGCTTGCAAAGTGTTTTTCCTTTGCACTCGCGGACGTGGCACTGTTCTGACAAATGTTGACCACCTTGGGTAAATGCCGCTTGCTAGGTAGTATGGCCCATCGTATGTATGTCCGTTGACGCAGTACATGACTTTTGGTGCCTTTCCTTGCAGGACATTGTTGAACACTGGGGATTGGGCAAAGACGTTGAGGTCATTTTGAGCTCCTGAAACCCCAAAAAAGGCATGCTAAATCTATGTATCAAAAGATGCCACCATCTCTACAATGATACTTTTTGCTCCTTTTCTATCCCCATAAGCTCCTTGCCATGCACTTGGACAATTTTTCCACGTCCAGTGCATACAATCGATGCAATCATCCTAGGAAAACCTCGCATCTCGCCTTCTTCAGAAGCCTTTGCAAGTCCATGTCAGTAGGTTTCGGAGGTACTCTGCGGTGTAGATAGATTCTATTGCTTCGCAAAACCTCATCAAGGACTCAAGAATGGTTTATTTCCCCATCCTCGTTATCTCATCCACTTGGTCTGTAGATACTCCATATGCAAGCATCCGCAAGGCAGCAATAATGTTTTGCTGAGGAAGGAGACCCATAGCGGCAAAAACATCCTTCTTTTGCACAAAGTAAGAATCATGGTTGCAAATGGCAATCATGATTTTGTTGAAAAAATGTGTTCCATTCTAAAATGACAGTTAAAGTACGTATCAGGGAATGCACTATTACGGATAAAATAATCGTCCAAGAGTTTCGTACCTCATTGTTGCCTGCTTCTATCAAGGTTTCTAGAACGACTAGGCCTGCAGATCTGACCCATAACTTGAATAACTCTACGGGGATGTGAGGCTCTTGCCATTCTTGCTTCATCATTTCTCATTCTACGCTCCTCATCCTCTTCCCTCTCATTTTGGGCCACCTGGAGATTGAACATTCCTTCTAATTGGTTAAACAATTCTTCCTCTTGCTGATCAATTTCCCACAACATCCTTAAAGAAAAAGACATTGTAAAAATGAAGCAGAAATTATGAATAATGATAGAGATTTTGGTGAAGAAAGAAGCAGAAACTATTAATAATGATAGAGATCTTAAGGAAATTGGTGTGAGATTTGTGAGGATGGATGGTGGATTATATGGAGGATTCATAAAGGATTAGGTTGTAGATAATGCCACATGGCGACGTGATTGGTTAATACTCTTATCAGAAATCCATCACCAATAATTGTATTTTCGGATAATGACACGTGACACAATGAATACGATTAAAAATCTTATCGGAAATTCATCACCGATAGTTGTCTTTTCGGATTTTATGACACGTGTCGCAACGAGAACGATTAAAAATATTATCCGAAATTACAAAT